TTCTAAAATAATTCACTCATAATAGTCAAGTTATAAGAATTATTAAGATATTTGAGCATCAAGCTTGTAATGTTGTCATTCACATTCCAAACAATTTTTGTAAGAAAAATCTGAAGAGTACAATTGATCAGCAAAATTGCAGATGTTCCCAATATTAAATGATTTAAATTTATTTTTAAGATTTAAAATTGTACTCAATTTAAGAAACTCTCTTTTGCTTGCTCACTTAATCTATTATTTAGTTTTTTCCATTGATAATATATAACAAATTAAATACATCAACTCAATAAAAATGCTCAATTGCCACATAAATTTTGTGTCAACATGAGATCAAATTATATCAAAATAAAACATAATTCATATGAGGAATTTTATAACTTGATTTTTACAAAAAAAAAAAATTACTATCCTCATTCCCATCCCAACCATAATCTTTTAATTTTTGAATGAGTTATTATTTTTTTGACTAAATTGAATAAGTGAATATTAAGGTTTAGGTAAAGTTAAAGTTAACGTATCAATATTAATATATTTGAGAGTTAAAAATATATAACTCTTATATTTTATTAAAAAATTAAAAATTTAAAAAAGCTGTGGGCCTTCTCTAGTTTTCAACTTATAAATAGAATAAATTTTTTTAATCTTATAAATAAAATTGAAGGGAATATCCATGCCAGACAATAAATAGACTATTAGAAGATATTTTAAAAATCTTTTTTGATCGACCAAAATAGAGAATATTGGGAAGATGTACAATATTTTAAAGGATTAAAATTTTACCTAATATTTTTTTCTCGATATCGTGAAATGGCCATGATGTCTTAAGAGTACGGTTGTTTTGAGCGCGCAGCCTTATGGAAGACGGGTATAAGGTTCTGATATCTCATCATTACCTTTCGCTGTTTGAGTTTGTGAGTGGCTCCTCTAGTCCTCCACTGCTTCACCATCATAGATTCATTCAACACCTGTCAAACCCATGCCTAAAACTCATAAAATAAAGGCAGATATCGTTGTAGTAACTGTGTATATAAAAGAAACCTCACATTACTTAAATAATTTTTTTTAATATATAAATATTAAAAAATAAAATAAGTTGGTAAAATAAATTTAATGGAGAAGTGAGTTCAAATGCACGAAATAAACTAATTTAGGATAATTACAATTAAAAATAGTTGATTCGTCCCGTGTGACTTCAAAAGACACTAGATTTTTTTTATTAAATTATTTTTGCAAAAAAAATTATTTATTTTATGAGCTTACCAAAAAAGCTAAAATTTTTACTGTTTGAAGTTTGAATTCAAGCCTTAGCTTTTTTTATGTGTTAAACCATTTCTCAAATGAATTTTGTTAATTAATTTTCTTTAGCATTTTGTTCCCCCAACGATTCAGTGCTTAATGAAAATAATGTTTTTGTAACCGAGGCTTAATGGTGTTTAATTCGGTGATTATGAGTCCAACGTTCATGTCTTTGGTTTTGGCTTATATATAGGCTTGGGCCCAGATAGAATAATGTGCCTGCCTCTTGAGCTTTTGATTCTCTTCTTTCCTCCTCCAATTGTGTTCCGTGTTTCATTTGAGTTTGTTTGTGTTTGTTGTATTGTTGCCTTGCATTTGCAAGATAAGCTTGTTTAATTTTAAAAAACTATCGATCTACCAAACCAGTGTGGTTGAACAGTTCTTAAAAATAATGTTTTTTGGTACGACTTAATTAATTCTTAATTTCTTACCTACCACCAACAGATATTACAGATTATACTCTATCTCTTTATATATATATATATATATATAAATTTGAAATGGCTGTCTAGAAAGTATTCTATTTTACTTAATTTACGCTATTAATTCTTCATGGCTCATTTTATTGGCCACTGAACATCTCATTGATTAAATAATTCATACGTTTAAATGACATGTGGCCCTCTTATCCTACCTACCTACCTACCTACCTATTATTATATTCATATTTAATTAATGATCATAAAGGAAATTAAAAAAAAAAATAAAGAGATGTGCAGTTCAACTATAGAATATTATATTATAAAAGCTGTCGTGTGAAAAGCTTCATTAATATCTGAGAGAGAGTCTGGTGTAAAATTCCTTGTTAAAACTATTGTGAATAATACATGTATATGATATTTGTTGACCAAATATGTATATATTATAGTCAAATTCTTTGGCATTACATAAATGGACTCACATTAATGATCATACGCGTGGATGGATTTATTTCCGATACTCATCGAAGTTTTAAGGCACTAGATTTGTAATTTCTTTTCATTCAACATGACTCTATATTGCATACCTATTCGTGAGCTGCCGTAAGCGATGATAACAGTCTTATACAATGAGAGTCTAGATTAATGCGTGCAAGAGGTGGTAATGCCTCAAGATACCGAGTGATATATGGAATAAAAAAAATGATTTATTGTTTTTAATATATGTAATCATGTTTAATTAATATGAAAATAATTTTGGATGGGTCTAAATCCCAAGCGCCAACTCATGGAAACAGCGCATGATTTGGTATTTAAGCGAGAGTGTCCCAGACAATAGCTAACGTGCCTTTTCCACTATAAGAGATAGTGAAAGCGTGGGACAAAAAATGGCAGACTAGACAAACCTGTGACAGAAAGAACCAGATGCATGGACAAGAATAGAGATCAGATGTATGTACCTCAATGAATGAGCTCTTGACAAGGCTAGTTGAAAATTGGAGGGCCTTTCGAATTGGGATTGGAATTTATAGAAACAAAAAAATTTAAGGCAGTGTTTGTTTTGCAGTGACATGCTATGTGTCTAGGAACAGACAAAAGGCCCCACATACCATGGCGTGCTTTGGCCGACCTTCCAGAATTCCTCTTACTCTCTCTCTCTCTCCCCCACTTTCCACTTTCCACTTTGTGGTTCAATGTTCATTCATTGTTTTCCTTTTCATTATTTCTTATGGTACCAATCATTCCCTTCTTTTTTTACCTCTTCCACATCATTGCTCTCTATAAAGTTCTCCCGTTTTGTGACTCCGCAAATTTCAAAGATTTTTCACTTTCAGTATTGCTCCCGTTTGAACCCTATAGTGGCGGTCGGTGCCCGCCTTCAAATGCCTTTGTTTCAAGTCAACAAATAATCCAACTGTACTCAATTAACAAGTGTTAATTCCTTGTACTTATTGGTAAGCATGTATTCCCATTATCCTCTTGTTTTTTTTTTTTTGTTTCTTACAATCCTTATACCTAACTCAACGAATAACTAATAGTTGTACAAAAAATCTATAAAAAGTCTCTGATTATTATTAGCATGATTCATTTTTTGGACATTATTCGGAATCTAGAACTGGTTTATTATGTCCCCCCCCCCCCAAAAAAAAAAGACAAGAACTGGTTTATTATTGATATCCTCCTTCATTGATTGATCCTTGTAATTTTCTTAATGTGTTTATATGCTTATTATACTACTAAGTACATAAGTCTTACCCTTATATAAAAATTCATTAGTTTCATTTTCCTTTTCACATATATAAAGGACGTACCATCCATAAGTCTGAAAAAGAAATGTATAAATAATATATAATGAATGGTATCCTTGCATATAGACATTGTGTAGTAGTGTATTCCAGGGAATTTTTAGAAGGACAAAAGGTGTCACTCAAATCTACACAATTTCAACTTTTCGTCGCGTTTCTTGCACAAATTAAATTGATCGCCTATATTTTTTTTCCGGAGAAACTAATATCCTCATCGATCCATAAAAAATAAAAAATCTAAGTAAACTGTACAATACAAATCCATGAATTAATATTATATAGTATAAAGTGAATGGTATGTTGTGATTTATTTATTTTTAAAATTAAAATTTATAAAAAAAATTGCATTATTTGCAGGCAGGAAACATCCAACTTGTTATATGAAACTACGCATGATCCATCGGGGTTTTTTTTTTTTTTTTGGGTGGGGGGGGGGGTTAGCGTTCATACGTAGGACTTATCATTATCATGTAGCTTCAACCTATCTGGGATCCAATTTAAATGATTTTGGGCCGGGCCAGCAATAAACGCGACTCTGTTTACCCTGTCCAGGTGGGTGAGGCCCACCTCCAAAATCTCATTTATCAAGATATTCAATTATCCACTTGATTAAGATTCAAAATTATTTTAAAAGGACTAATTAACACGTAGGTCAACTAATAAAATATTATATTAACTTAACTAGTGAGGTCCGCTGCATGTCACTGTTTTGCAGTGAGGCCCACCTCCAAAATCTCATCTATCAAATTAAATACTTGTTTGGAGAGTATTGCAGCTAATATAATCTTACTCAATTTAGCCCATTAATAATGAGTAATTGTATAAAAAATATGAAAAAATGATAATAAATTCTTTTTGAATTATGTAAATAATATTTTGGTCTTTTGAAATGTTATAATTCTTTTAAAGTTTCTAAAGACTTTTTTATCATTAAGGAATTAATATAAATGATCAAATTTTTATTAATTCAAATATTAATTGCTATTTATAAATCTTGTTCTAAGATTCACAACTTTTATTTTTAAAATTAAAAAAAATTAACATTAATTTATAAATTCGCACTTTGATATTCCTTAAATGTTGTAAACATTAATTGCTATTTATAAGTTTTGTCTTTGAGATTCACAATTTTTTTTAAAAAAATTATAAGAATTTAATAGTAATTTATAAGTTTAAATTAAATACAATTTAGTCATTTATATTAATTTCTTAACGATAAAAAAATTCTTTAAGATTTTAAAAAAATTATGACATTTCGAGAGATTAAAATATCATTTACATAATTTACAGTGATTTTATTATCATTTTTCTAAAAATTATCTCAAAAGGCTTCACCAAAAATATAATTCATTGGTCATAATGAGTAACCAGCGATCCATTTAATCTTAACTGTAATTAATTACACAAGATATTCTTTTCTTGGCGGAAGTAACTTAGTTACACAAGATAGTTTAAAACTCTCTCTTGCCAAGCAAGTCCGATAACGATTTACACAAGATAGGATCATAATGAGTCTTTATTTATTTTGAAAACGTTATGGGCATGTTGATTGGGCTCATTTTTTTGGGCTGAAATTCAGCACTGGGGCGAGCTATCGGCTTTCGTGCTGTCGGGGTCCCTTCTCTCTGCGGCCAGAAATTTGGCATTGCGAGCGACGACCATGTGTTATATGCATGGGTTCTTAATTCGTGCACGGGTAAATGAGATCTCTTAGAGATGTTATGGTACACCATGTTCAGGTTATAAAAGCTGGTTTCACCTCAAACATTTTTGCTTGCAATCAGCTCATTCGTCTCTACGCCAATCATGGACTGCCCCATGCTGCCCACAAGCTGTTTGATGAAATGCCTCAGCGAAATGTATTCTCTTGGAACACAGTCATATCGGCTCATATCAAGGCTCGAAACCTGGCTCAAGCACGAGCACTTTTTGATTCTGCCTCTCATAAGGATTTGGTTTCTTATAACTCCATGTTATCTGGTTATGTAAATGCTGATGGTTGTGAAACTGAAGCTCTTGATTTGTTTACTACAATGCAATCTATGCCTGTGATAACTGGGATTGATGAGGTCACTCTGACGACAATGATTAACTTGGCCACAAAGCTGCGTGTTGCCCTTTTTGGAAGGCAAATACATTCATATATGGTGAAAACTTCAAATGATGGAAGCGCATATGCAGTGAGTTCTCTTATTGATATGTACTCAAAATGTGGGTTATTTGGCGAATCTTGCAACGTTTTTAGTGGTTGTAATGGAAAGGTGGATTTGATTTCAAAGAATGCAATGCTTGCCGCTTGTTTCAGGGAAGGAAAGATGAACATGGCTTTGAATCTATTTTGGGAAGATCCCAAATTGAACGACATTATATCTTGGAATACATTGATTGCAGGCTATGCCCAGAATAACCATATGGAGAAATCACTTGCCTTGTTTGTTCAAATGGTTCAAAATGGCGTTGGGTGGGATGAACGCACTTTAGTGAGTGTTTTGACCGCTTGCTCTGGCCTAAAATGCTTAGCACTTGGGAAGTCTGTCCATGCCTGGGTGTTGAAAAACGACTCATTTTCTAATCAATTTATTAGCAATGCCATTGTTGATCTATACTGTAAGCACGGGAATCTCAAGTATGCAGAAGCCGTTAATGCAGGAACCAAGACTGATAATCTCTTTGCAGTTGCTTCATTTATTTCAGGCTATTCATCTCAAGGCAACATGAAAGAGGCCCAAAGACTTTTTGATTCACTAACAGAAAAAAATTCCGTCGTCTGGACTGCTCTAATTTCTGGTTATGTCAAAGCAAAGCAATGTCGGGTAGTCTTCAAACTTTTTAGAGAGTACATGACCAATGAAGCACTAGTTCCTGACGGATTGGTCATTATCAGTGTGCTTGGTGCTTGTGCTATAGAAGCCGCTCTTACTTTGGGAAAGCAAATTCATGCTCATGTCTTGAGAATGGGACTTGAAATAAATGAGAAATTACCTAGTGCTTTAGTTGATATGTATTCAAAAGGCGGGAATATAACATATGCTGAGAAAATTTTTCGGCTAGTTGCTGATAGTGATAGAGATACAGTCTTTTATAACATCATGATAGCCGGTTTTGCTCACCATGGGCTTGTAAATGAAGCATTTCGGCTTTTTCACGAAATGTTGAAGAAAAATATCAAGCCAGATGCAGTGACTTTTGTTGCACTTCTATCGGCATGTGTACATCGTGGACTAGTCAATCAAGGAGAGCAGATTTTTTGTTCCATGGAATTTGATCACAATATTTTACCAGGTGCTGAACATTATGCATGTCTGGTTGATATGTATGGAAGGGCTAATAGACTAGACAAGGCAATAGAATTCATGAGTAACTTTCCTTTACAAATGGACACTGCAATCTGGGGAGCATTCCTTCATGCTTGTCGTTTAAGCGGCAATATAGAGCTTGCCAAAGAAGCTGCAGAGAAACTATTGAAAGTTGAGGCAGATAGTGGGGCTCGTTATGTGCAATTGGCTAATGTATATGCTGCAGAGGGGAATTGGGATGAGATGGGAAGAATAAGGAACAAAATGAGGGGAAGAGAGGCTAGGAAACTTGCTGGTTGCAGTTGGATATATGTGGAAAATGGTATTCATGTATTTACTTCTGGTGATAGTTCTCATTCAAAATCAGATGTAATATATTCAGCTTTAGTCTGTTTGAATGAAATAATGTATTTGTCATCCGCAGAACTGGAACAGCTTTATGAAAATTCAGGGGAATTCTGTTGAGGACATAAAGTTTCAATTAGCCAATGCCATTGAATGTGATTCTTTGGCACATTAATGGCGAAGTCCGTTTGTTTTGTGGGCATCACATCGTCAGAATTCAACGCCGGAGGCATGTGAAGACAAATGTTGCAAGAAAACAGGATATATTCATCTTCATATTGCTAGGAAAATGATCAGATGTTGTTAAAGCAAAACAGAACAGGATAGAGCCAAAACCCATGTTTACTGAGCCTCTATGACATGACATGTTAATTGGAGTTCATTCTGTGTGACCTCTTCTTATATTCTTTATTTAAATTGTTTCACTACAAGGCATGGTGAGTACGTGCCTTGTCCACATTTCAAGTCCAAAGAACTTTCAGGCAAGCTAGAGATCAAATACTTAAACAATCCAGTATTTACAGGCCAATTGGAACACAAGCAAATTACTGGACTAGAGGCCAAATGATTCAGGTAAGTTAGCGATCATATACCCAAAAAGCAGAAGAAGAAGACAACCACAATGACGAATTGCTTTTCCTCCTGCAGTTTTATATGCTGTTTTGAGTTTTTTTTTTTGTCTTATTTCTGGACTCAGTAAATTTTCATCCTCGACAGATTCTTGATTTCTATTCCCCTGAACATAGGAGATTGACATTTTGATAGAAACATCTTCAAGCTAATGTCGTCTGCATCCTGTAGAATATTCTTGGGGCATCCCTCCCCTATTCTTTATGATGCGATACATGGCTAGTATATTTTATGTTAGCTTAACTCATATATTCAATTATATGAGGCGTTAGTGACTTGGTGGTGGCTATAGACAAAAGCACGAGCGAGTTTTAGATGATGTCATGCTGTTATTTACAACAGTGCTCATTGGCAACTTCTTTGTCCCACTTCTTTCGTACTTTTCCTTCCCCATGTGTAGGAACATGCATATGATGCATTATTGCATATGCTTTATTTTTGTGATACGATAACCCTTCCTTTTTTAATGTCTGAGAAATGTTCTGTGCATTAAAATATTCACAACGAGCATCAGTGTGCGCTTGGTGTGTGTGTTTAATATTCTACGACGAAAGTCAAGTGGGAACGTGTGCCAGGAGGATCAATCTCATCCTCCAGGAAAGCCATGGTTGATTTTTTTTTTTTTTTTGGTAATCAAAATCATGTAATCATGTAATCATGTGGCGACACAAAGGACAAGTATGGTGCTTGCTGAGCCATTTGAGGATGCAACCATGGTTTAGGAATTCAAACTGCTTCTTCTTCTTCCTCTTCTCTTCTATTTAATTAAACCTCCTCCAAACGTGTCGAACAGTGTGTGGATTCTTCAAGTCTAACCTTTTCTAAGTTTTCTATTAAACCTTAATTTGCAGGACTTATTATTTCCTCCGCCTCCTCGTGCATGTATTCAAATTTCTCAAATTTGCTGTCTGAAGCATAGGCTATGGATGTCGTCGCCTCTTCCTCTCTTATGGCTCTGACAAGTCTCGGTGTTGAAATGTTGGCCATCAAGTCGACCAAAATTATTTCCATTTTGGCCCTCTTTGAGGCAATTAATCTATTATCCAAAGTTGTATTGTATCTTATTTGAATTCCAAGATGTAACCTTTTCAAGAAGTATTCTTTGTACATTGGTTAAAACTTGAAATGAAGATTGTATTTAAGAGGCCTTAACTCCTTTCACCAAATTTTTACAAAGTTGCAAGTTAAAAAGCATCCTTTAATTTAAAAAATATCTTTTTTTTTTAATTTTTCAATGTATTATCATAACTGATAGTTATGAGATTAATTTTTTGAAAATTTTGAACATTATTTAAAGAATTGTCCTCTTTCAAATAATGAACTCTATGGACACTTCAATAAATCAAAGTTTAAAATAATATTTAAGAAACCTAAATCATTATCATTGATATTGTATCCATTTGGTATAAAATAAAATATCTAATTTTAATAATTAGATATAAAAATTTATAACCTTTTCACTGTTTTCATTTTTCAAGTAGCTGGCACCATATTACCAACTGTAATTAAACTTGAACAGCTGATCTTGCTTCTCCCAATGGAAAAACTTTTATATGAATGATGAATAAATATATATTATACTCTATTTTATTATATAAATGTGAAATATTTATAAGGTGATATCATTTGCATATTTTATAAAGTGAAAATGACAAATAAATTTCATGGAAGTAAGCAAATAGTATATAAGTCCGACAAAATGCGGTATACAGACTTGTTTGACATAATTTTTCGTAAAATTAGGTGAGAAACATATTTAAAAAAAAAATCATGACATGTAAGTTCTCTCTACTTCAAAGTAATTATCATGTGGTAGTTTTGTCATTTAACCATTTCGTGCATATTTATTTGTCATTTTTTCTATAGTTTAATTTTTAATTTTTAAAATCTTGAGAGCAAGAAAACCATGTCCGCTGTCAAGATCGGAGATCCTTTTTGTGGAGCTGATCTCAGTCAGGCGAGCCTTCCTGCTCAGATCTTCAATCAGCGTGAATCCTGAGTCCTCCTTTTCTTTGAACGAAGCTCTGTGTTCAAGATCATCCTCCTCAACATCCAATTTCACTGCCATTCGTCCCAACCTTGGTTTGTCCATTCTTCGCCCCTCCCAAAACCTTATAAAAGAATCAACGGGACGACCACATCGCCTGAAGGTTGCGGTGGAAGTGAAGAGACGCCATGATTGGCCGCAGAGAAGGACCCTTGATGAGGAACAATGCCCATTCTCTACACAAATCGAGGGTCCTCGTCGCTATAGCCATCGGGGTTTTCGTTGGATGTGTCTGTGCTTTTTTGTTCCCCAATGGGTTCTTCGGTTCTAATGCAATCCCTCGTCGCAATTACAATCTCGTCGGATCCAAGACTCAGGTTCTATATTTAATCGTTCTGGCTCTTTCTGTATCTCTTTTTGGGCTTTTTTGCCGTCTGAATCTTGATTGGATTGAGACTTCATTGAATTCGCATTATTTCCTATGCGCTGGGATCATTTGGATGACATATGAAGCCGTTGACTTTCGATTCCCATGTTTCGACCAGTTGCTTTTGGTATATTATTGTGATGTTATATTTTGTCTTGCCGGCTCAACTAGTTCTTGATTTGCTAAGGCAGTTGACAACTTCAGAAGGATTGATTTATTGCCTACTTCCATCTTTGGAATCATTTTCATGCTAGGATTCTAATGTGATTGGGATATGATTTGTTCCACAACTAGATATTTTGACCTTAAAAAAAAAAAAAAACTGATCTTTTCTTTTCCCTGTCCATTTCTCTGCTTAGAGATCAAATTCACTCTGGTTTCTAGATCTTTTTGTTAAACTGTTAGTTTGTCTGATCCCACCTAATGGGATAAGGCTTATTGTTGTTGTTGTTATTAGTTTGTCTGATGAATTTAGTGAATGGATGGAGCTGAACTGTTAAAATTTCTACTCATGATGAATAGTTGAGAGGTTAAATAGCTTGCTTGCATATGCAATGTCTGTCTGTGTATATGTGAATCCACATGGTTTTGCTGGGGCTAAAATAGCACTTTGTGTAATTTCTCTTTCCAAGGCGCAAAGAAGGGGCCATAGCATAATATCGTTCATTTTACAACGTCTTCTTTTGGCAGGCATATTCAGCTGAATGCGAATCATCAGATCGGGTCAACATTTTGAAATCAGAGTTCGTGGCAGTATCAGAGAAAAATGCTCAGCTGAAAAAACAGGTCAGAGAGTTGACTGAAAAGCTTCAGCTGGCAACGCAAGGGAATGATCAGGCTCAAAAGCAGTTTCTCGCATTGGGTAAACAGCCTAAAGCTGGGCCTTTTGGTACTGTTAAGGGATTAAGAACAAACCCTACTGTTGTTCCCGATGAATCCGTGAACCCAAGATTGGCAAAGATATTGGAGAAAGTAGCGGTTCAAAGAGAGCTCGTAGTTGCCCTTGCAAATTCCAATGTGAAGGAGATGCTAGAAGTCTGGTTCACCAACATCAAGAGAGTTGGTATAACCAATTATCTGGTCGTTGCTTTAGATGACGAGATTTCAAAGTTTTGTGAGTCAAATCAGGTTCCAGTGTACAAGAGAGATCCAGATAAAGGGATAGATTCCATCGGAAGAAGTGGAGGCAATCATGTTGTTTCTGGGCTTAAATTTCGTATCCTTAGAGAATTTCTGCAGTTGGGATATAGTGTTCTTCTATCAGATGTTGACATCGTGTATCTGCAAAACCCTTTTGATTATCTGATCCGGGATTCAGATGTAGAGTCCATGAGTGATGGTCATAACAATATGACAGCTTATGGGTATAATGATGTCTTTGACGAACCTGCAATGGGTTGGGCTCGATATGCTCATACTATGAGGATATGGGTCTACAACTCTGGTTTCTTCTACATCAGACCAACAATCCCTTCAATAGAACTTCTTGATCGTGTGGCCGCTCGACTTTCCAAGGAGAAGGCTTGGGACCAGGCTGTTTTCAATGAAGAACTCTTTTACCCCTCACATCCTGGCTACGTTGGGCTGCATGCTGCCAGAAGAACAATGGATATGTACCTCTTCATGAACAGCAAGGTTCTGTTCAAGACTGTGAGGAAAGATGCTAACCTCAGAAAACTTCGACCAGTAATTATTCACGTGAACTACCACCCGGATAAGCTTCCACGAATGAAAGCAATTGTTGAGTGCTACGTGAATGGGAAGCAGGATGCTCTCCAACCTTTCCCTGATGGCTCAGATTGGTAGCCTTCTGCTGCCAAGGTATTTGCTTGGCCTCTTGTTGTAGACAATTTTACAGTAGGTCTTATAATGCATACATCCCAGAAAGATCTCATTATATATGCTCAATTTAGTGATGTTTATCACCCCCTTAAAAGATGGTCGTGTTTTTTCTTTAGGGTGGGGCTTCTACACGTTTGTTTTATTCAAAACCTCGTTTTCACGTTGGAAGATGAGTTGCAATATATTGGTACAACATCAAAGAAACCTCATCTCTTAACTTTTTATGGTCAGGTTAGATTTTCTTTTGAAGCTTTCACTTGACTTCTCTTCGTTCTCTCTGTAACTTCAAAGTAAATTTAAACGGCAAAATGCGGGTGATCCGAAGTCGAATTAGATACATTGAGCCAAGATTCTATATTTCCGTAGATCAATTGAAAGAGGGCGTCATCGTAGGTCATTTATGAAAGAAACCAAGTCCTTTAACTTGGCATCACATTTTCGAAGAGGAGTATGATTGCTTGGTTTGTAGTTGTGAAGGCTATTCACTTAAATCTTTACTAATTGACTTGCTGTTTCGAACACGAATTTATTTCATGGACAACTGCAGAGTCCCTCATCTTCACCTCCATCAAATGACGTCCTTCAGAATAACCCCATACCTTGCAAGTTTGATCACAAGAAAACAATCCACATCTCATATAACTAAATGAATAAAAGAATTCAAGGCACGTGGGGAATATTTTGAACAGATTGGAGTTAAAGTTAAGGGATTAAAAAAAAAAAGTCCCTCAAGGTTGCTTCAATTATTTACTTGATTTCTCAAATTTAATTTTTATTAATTTAATCTTTTATGTTTTTTTAAATCATCACATTAGTCAATTAAATTTTAGAACAAATTGATTCTTAAATTAATCTAAATCTGTAAAATATATTAATAATTTAACATATTTATATAATTAAATGAGATCAAATTGACCTTGAAACTAGTTTACTTTTTATCATTATGGTTCTTTACGTGCTGCATTTAGTTCTCTCGTTTTTGAAATTTTTTAAATCTGTTTTTTTGGCCTTAAATAATTACACTCTTTTATTATTAATCTATATAATTATTATCAATATTATATTTTTCACGTTTACAAATTTTAACAGCCTCTTTAAATAATAAAAATCATATGAATAATTAAGACAAATTTAAACGATTAAATTGATTAAAAAATTTTAAAGTAACAAATCCATAATTGATTTGAGAAACTAAAGTTTCGGATGAGCAAGAACTAGATATGGAGAGGTGAGAATGTCAAAGTCGTCCTTACTAATTACTCATTTTTGAGATTTTACAATTTAAGCCGTAAACCATTAAATATAATATGAGGATGAATAATTAATAAAATCATTTGTATAAATTACACTTCTGTCGTTAAAAGAAAGAAAGAAAAAGAGAAGATTCATGGCCTGATCAAGAAACCAGGGTCAAGAGTGGCCGGCAACGTCAATGGATGGATTTTGAAGAGGTGCTTCCTGAGCTGTTTTTGGGCTTTCATCAGAAGTGATTCTAGCTGGCTTGGTGGCCACAAGATCCGCAATTATTCCTGGTCCATACTCCTCAACGAGCTCTCTCTGTCCAACAATCAATCCCACCAAAAACCAACGTTAGACAGACACTGAAACTAGGACTAGCTATTGGAAGAAAAGGCGGGAAACAAGACAACGACGACCAAGGAGAGAGAACAACAAAACCGAACCAAACAAATTACATATTATCTCAACATACACAGCTACCTTAGAAGGAGTTTAAACTTGACAAATAAATTAGTTGTGGAAACAGGAACAGAGGAAATTTAAAAGATGATGTTATGGTAGAAATCGATGACGGATGCGTGTGGAGAAGCACATTTAATAATGTAAGAATAACGCTATACTGGAAAACGCTTAGTTATTGAACGTAGGGGAGGAAGAAATAGAGAATCAAACATGGTGCATCTGAACCTCAATGGAGTCGTTTGAATCGGTGAGCTCCATACAGTCCTCGGAAAGTTTCATTAGCTTCTTCTTGAGAGCGGAATTTTCTCTGATAAGATTGTCCACAGTATTTTGTAGTTCTTCGAGTTCTTGCTGCAAGTTTTTGACGGAAAAAAATAAATATATAAAACATCAAATGAAAACCACCATTTAAAAAAAAAAAAAGTTACAAAGCTTTTGGTATATGAGTATTTTAATTTATCGTTTATTAAAGATCCATATAACAATTTTGAATACAAAGGCATAATAAAAAATCAATATCTTTATATTATTCAAGACGTACCACAAATTTTAAAGGGAGAATAACAGAAAGATCTCAAAAAGATCAATTAATTTAATTTAGGTCCTAAATGCCAAACTCTAAAAATTTAAAATTCTAACTTTTAATTTTGCAACTGCGTTATGATGAACTTGCAACTTATTTTTCAAATTTTAACATAATTAGAATAACAAAATTTGTTTTCCATGTTAAAATTTGAAATACAAGTTATAACTTCATCATAGTAGAGTTGCAAAATTGAGAGACTGAGTTGCAAATTCTTAAAATTTAACATTTAAAATCTAACTTGAATTAATTGATTGGGACCTCTCTGTCATTCTCCCAATTATAAAAGTTACAATATATTTTAGGTCTCAACATCAGATAAATGGATTTTCAAATGGAACATAATAATTTCAAACACCCCCCCCCCAAAAAAAAAAAAACAGAGAGAGAGAGTCCCGGTAAAACCATAATGTTCAAAAAGGGAAAAGGAGAAAAAAAAAAAAAAAAACTGTTGGCAGTCCTAAACACATGCATAAAGTTTAATTAGTATCCGGTGAATACATTATTAGCTCTCGTTGGAAAAAAAATGGCTTTTTGCAACCTTGTTTAATACTGAGAAATTTTCATTGCCGTGGCTAGAAGTTTAAGAATGATAATCAATAAAGGAAACTACAATAACATGCCATTTGATCAACAGTAAATGGCTAAATGCTATATAAAAGTGGAAGAATAAGCTGGTAGAAGACAAGCAGAGTATTGGACTATGGGAAGAAAAAAAACATTCGCCACAATATTTTCACATTTATGCATACCTGCTTGCGTATTCTTGATCTTCGAGCTGACTCCCTATTTAACTGCCTTTTTCTTTCCCTTCTCATTTCATCTTCTTCCTGCAGAAAGAGATGCAGCATAGTAGGAACCAGGAAAAAGCCACATTGCAGAGAAGAAATGACCAGTCAGACCAGAGGAAACCTTACGAAAGGATTTGATTATGAATAACTAATTATCAGTGCAGTCTCGCAAGCCAGAATCCTAATTGTAAAATGATAATTATATATATCAAGTCAAATACTCATAATTGACAAGGCATGAAGCATATCAAGAGAGACCCATATCAATATAACACATGAAAAATTAGAGGAGCTGCACCAAAACATCTACTTCCAAATCATTTGCACTGTGGGCGGGAAAACATAACGGGTGTTAACGATGCAGAATGCAGATGCATCTCCATCTCATCAAGATTCAAGCATATTATTCAAATAGTTGAATAAATTACACTAAGTAGGTCATAAAATACGGATGCCCCTACTGAATATTTGAGATTTTTTCACAGAAGATAATTTTTTTTTCCCCCTAAAGAAAACATAATGAAGATATCATCAATCCTTACTCTATGCAGCATAACGTGCACTAGAGTTCAGACTCAGTATGCTAAGATAAAGTTTTATATCTCTCTTGGCGCACGCGCTTGTTTATATTATTTTAGCATTTAGCATGCAGCCGATCCTTATTACACTTGCTTATGATTGGGAGTTAGATATAACTCCATAAGCAGATCATCTCAGCTTGTGCCGACACAGTGAGTATGGTAGTGAAGCAGGCATTTAAAAGTGACAGTCTGCCGGCCTCCTAAATCATTTTTCTCAGCATTTTTAGCAAATCCACCAAACGTCTGTCTACTCTAGAAAGGGTAATCATAAAAGCCAATAAAAAATGATATGGAAAACAGAAAAGTTTATAGTACCAGCTTAGAAACTCGAGGCTTAGCCTCAGTTACATTGTTTCCCAAGTTAGCATTCAGTTCAGTTGAATTAACTGCAATATCTTCTGATGCAGAATTTCTATTCATGTGAACAGTATTAAAGTTTTCAGTATCCGTGGCCTCCTTCTCAGCATCATCTTCTGCTCAGGTAATATATCATCAGACTATGGATATTCTATCTTTCTGACAATCAAATAAAAATCTATGAACTTCAAACATACCGTTGGTGAGCATCACCTCACATTGCTGCTTGTCAATTGAAAATTCCTGCAGCAGACGGGACAGAATTGAACCAGCTCATCACAAGATTCTAACAATGTCAAACTATACAAACCAAAAAAAAAATATCAATTTCAACAAGAATAAAAATTCAATAGGGATCTTCATACATTGTTGTTAGTGTCATCAATGCCATGGCCTTCAAACGATGACATACATGAAGGTCCATCTCTTGCAATATAGTGCATTGAAGGCCCATTACCATTTTCTGTTGATTTCCCAGTAATGATACTTCTAGGATGTAAGTTCACATCACATGATTTCCTTGAATCAATTTCCTTCTCGTTGAAAATACTTTGTTCTCTTTCTGAAATTGTCAAGGAAGTACCCTGATAAAAAATGCAAAAGCATTCGATATTTATGAATAAATTAATGCACAATTATGGACAAATACACTCACTCATTTAAAATGGGGAAAACTAACAGGAATAATGTAGACTGAGTCCATTATAACTGCTAACACCACCCCATACCATAGGAGAAAAAGAAATGCCAATAAATGTTTAAAAAACAATGGAAGCCCAGAATTGACAGGATTACCTCAGATACAAGATGATTGGAGAGAGTCTTGTTACTATGCTGAGAATCATATTGAAGTGGTATGTTATATTTCTGTAACAAAAGACAAGACAGAAAAAAATAGAGTACATAAGTTGTCCATTTGTCTTAAAAAGAGCAAGCAATATGCTATAAGATGTGTGAATATGCATATAACTACCCGGTTTGCCCAAATGTTGGGATTAAGGGAAAAATCAGCTGTATATGAATTTACAAAGGTTGTTGCAGTAGACCCGGAATTATGATAGACCTATTTAAAAGCGATCACAGAGCATTAGCTGTTTCTGTATACATGAGAAACAAAGTATCAATAATATCAATATAACTTGATTGAAACAGTATATTGGTTGGACCTGTATAGGAGTAGACCAATGTGGTGGAAAAGATGTATTTAAAGCTTCCTGTCAGAAAACAAGATGGAAACAACAAGAAACAGTAAATATGAGCAGATTGCAGATAGAGGAATTAAGTTGACATGGTTCTTAGTGTGTTTACAGACATCTTGAGTTATCAAAGTTTTGCAGGGTGTGGCACATCTGTTGGATTCTTCTGTCTCCATCAAAATCAAGTAGCATATGACCTCTGTAGCCACCTAAATTGTCAATTGCTTGTTGAATCTAATAGTAATATCTATAGAATGAGATGAAGAACAACGTCAGCTCATTTTAACCAGTAATTGAATTTTGCTAGTGAGAAATATAGACATTTCTTAGTTCAAAAGCCACAGCTACTTCACTTTCCATGTATTTTGCTTTAGGCAAAAAATATGAGCTTCTTGATTGATAGATTTACCCTTGTTAGTATTACTTGTTACTAAATAATCATGATCGATAGATTTCACTGATTGAACAAAAAAAATCAGATTAAGTACTTGGCATCACAACATGTTTTAGCCTCCTTGAAGTAGGCCAAACGTCCCATCCTTAAAATGCAGCTAAAAAATTAAAAAAGCTCAGTAGTACGGACATTAACACAAAAGAGAACAAACTGTAAGGTGTTAAGTACTCTTTATATGTTGTGTTGTGATTCATGCAAGTGCCTAACACTCTTGCAAGTAACTGCACTTTTTTTATTTTTTTATTTTGTCCTTGCTTTATAAAAATAAGCTAGCTTCCTTTTTATATATTGCTTAATGCTAACCATATTCTCTATGCAGTCCCAATTTCTCTATGGCCTATTCTTAATGGATATAAAATTCAAGGTGACCGTTGGCAACCCAAGCTAAGCTCATGAAAATACCGACCACGGGATAACCTCCAACCCTCTTTTCAGTGACTGCAGCAAAGCCCTAAACTGCATTCAGCCCATCAGCTGCTTGTAAAATAAATTCCTGATTTCGAAATTAATTAAGGGGAATTTCTCTTTTATCAAAATAGGTGGGGAAAAAAAAATAGCTACCATCATAAGCCAGCCCCATTAGCAAAACCACTCCGAATACTAGAACAAATCAAAGACCAAAACTGTTGAATTGCTGACGAACTTTCACATGAATGTTTTAGATTTTTACACGGGTACTGCTACGACTATCTATCTTAACCAAATACTGCAGCTGGGGGAAATAACGTGTAACGCATACAGAATGAAATCCAGAACAAGATTTGAGGAATTAAAGAACAGAGAACGCAGGAAAATCCACCTACAGGTGTTTATAAAAAGAAAAAAAACCCGAATAAAGTAAACATGCCTGGATTGCTGAAGCAGAAAAATGTGCCGGAAAAAAGGATGGCTCGGGAAACAAAACAGAAGTTGGAAAGAGAAGACAAAAAAACACAAGAAGAAGTTAAAGTAGACGTTGACTGGGAGAGTGGAAAATCTAGCGAAAAAGAGGAAGGGAAAGGGCGAGGAGTTGAAGAGAAAGAGAAACCTGAGACTGTGTGGCGCGAAAGAGAAGCCCACTGCGACGGTTTTCCTATTCGAGCTTGTTTCTACTGGTATAGTGGGATGTACATCTTATTATCTCTACATATGAATACAATTTTTTTAACCAAGCGCCAGGATAAAAATATGGAAGAATGATACCGAAATTTTAAAAAGATGAATTAATTTAAATTAAATTTTAAGTGTTAAATTTTAAAAATTTATAATTTAATTTTTTTAATTTTATGATTATATTGTAATAAATTTATAATTTATATTTTAAATTTTAACAGAAAAATAAAATTAAGAGATTAAGTTATAAATTTTTAAAATTTAATATTTAAAATCTAACATAAATTAATTAATATTTTTAAAATTACTTTAACATTTTTCTTTGAAATATAAAATTAGGAAAAAGTACCGATCATCCGCATACTTTTTTTTGATTCCATAATCTCTCTTTTTTTTTTTTCCCGGGTATCCCACAAATCATCGTTGTACTATATTTAAGATTTTAGAAACGGGTATTGGCAACCATTAACAAATTTTACTTAGGTTAAGATTTAATTTTACTCTTATATTTATTTTTTAAAATGTTGGGCATTATATATTTTTAAATGGACAATTTTTGCCTTGAAGTATTTTTTCGAGGTCCAAAAAAATCTTTCTATTATGAGGCTGTTTATTTTATCATTTTTTGTTAATGTGGCATATGCATGGGTCCAAGCATAATGGGTAGGTAAGACTTTAACTATATTTTTTGCTATTAATTTACTCTTAAATTTTTTTTTCAAGAGCGCTAAACACCCTAAAGTCTTTTTTTATGAACTCTAGATACCTTGAAAGTCTTATTAAAATAAAATTTAATAAATATTATCAAAATATTAAATATTTTCAAATTTAATAATTTAAATATTATTTATAAATATTTATTTAAAATTTATAAATTACTTTTTAAATATTAACAACTCAAATTAGCATTTATAAATTTATACATAACTTCTTATTTTTATGTATTGATCTTTGATCTTCTCTCTAAGAGAGTGCCTAAATTGTTATACCTTTTATACATGTCAGAACGTACTTATATTTTTAATATTAATTAAATTTTTAAGTCATTTTTTGTAATTGTTTTGGTCAACTAACCATTTTCTTTCAAAATATTACACTACCCAAATTTAATAATTTTTATATGTTGTAGTGTTAGAAGTAAAATCAGAAACATGACAAATTAAGACTAATAATATGCCAATAAAAATATTTATTTAAAAGATATTATTTATTTCATTAATGTGCTATAAAAAAAATTACTTAATAAAAGAAAAATGAAAAGATGAGAAAAAAATCTCTTTGTTAATTTGAAAGTTCATTCATTTCATTTTTAATATAAAATTAAAAAATATCAAAAATATTAAAATATTACATTTGGTGGTGTAATGTTTTAAATAATAATATTTAAATTATTTAATATTTTAATAATATTTATTAAATTTCATTTTAACTAGACTTCAGGAGATACATATTTTAGATTCGACAATTGTACTTAATACAAGTACTGAATACCTGTACCATCTGAACTGTTAAAATTCATATTAACAGTTCATATATACTTATTCATTCATTAAGCTCAAGTAAAGTATAAATTCATAATTATTTATTTTGATTTTAATAATTCAAATGGTACAAGTACTCAGTACTTATTTTGATTTTAACAATTCAAATGACACAAGTATTTAGTACTTATATTAAATACAGTCACTGAATTTAAATTCTCAAAATACCCAGTGCTCCAAAGAAAAGACTATAGGCACTTAGCGCTTCTAGAAAAAGAATTTAAGGACAAATTAACATTAAAGGACATGATTAAAGTCTTATATGTCATTATGTGTGGGCTCCACACACATGAACGTTAGTAGAAAATAAAAAAAAAATTAACGATTGACTAACAAAAGTGGCTTTTTGCTCCTTAAAAAATAATTTAAGGATAAAATTATCTTACTTAAAAGTATAGGGTATCCAACACTATTAAAAAATAAGTACATAAATAAAATTAGACCTTAGCCCATTTTACATTGATAACTTTTGAATATGATTTTAGGCTATGGTCTTAACTTAGGATTAGGAAGGAGATTTTCTTTATGAATGTGTAAATTATATTTTATCTCTCGTTTATTACATGGTTAATTTAAATTTAAAAATTCTTCCCGGATATGAGGATAACTTTTTAAATTAATGGTAATGTGTGATTATTTGTAAATTAAATAAATTAGCATTGCTCTTCGATTGACATTCTTTATTTAAAAGCTTAGAAGTTAAAACTTATTCGTGAGCGTGCATGCATGTTATTAGGATATGTTATGTACTATGTTGGTATAGAGTTGTCAATTGAGAATCGATCCTTAACAAATTAAGGCCTAAACGAGTTGGCTTTTATTAAGTTTAATTATATCTCAAGGTTTCATTTTGATTAACCCGGCTTTGACTCTCAAGGTTAAAAGGTCGATCCTCAGGACCTTGGCTCCATATTTTTTTTTTCTATTTTTTTGATTTAAAAATATAAAAAATATATTTGAAATCTTAAAAAAAGTTATAGCACATAACAATAAGTCTAGAAAAAAAATTAAGTTGATTCACACAACAACAAATTTAAATCAAATAAAAAGCAATAACATCACAAAATTAACACCAATAACAATCTGATTTTACAAATATCATCAGTTAAATCTTGATTAATTTTATTATCATCAACATCAATATAATTTTATCATTCTCTTTATGAAGCCTCAACGGTGACAAAGATATTAAGCTTTTTATATATATTTTTATCCTCGTAAAATGAGGTTAGAGCTTTAGAATTAATGTGATATTTAATTTTTTTAATATTAAAATTTAAAAAAATTATAAAAAGACTTAAAAGGATTGACCCTGGTTCTAAAGGATTGACCTTTTTATCTTAAGGCTTAAAGTCCTTTTAAATCCAAATTGTTATTTTACATTTTAAAGTAGTGGCTCAGTCTTAAAATTTTTTAAACTTAAAAAAGCTAGTTTGACTTTAATTAATCACTCTACGTTAGTATGTAATCATGATAATGATTGCAAGAAAAAAACCAATAAAAATATTACAAGTTCATAGTTTAAGGACACAGTCAAAATATTATACAATTCTCGACTCTAAGAATAAATTATCATTAAATTTTATCTTTGGACTTGAAAGATTTAAAGTATAAAATAGTAATAATACGGTATGGGGTGAGTTTGAATTTCAATTAGAGAAAATTGATTATAAAAAAAATTGATTAATGAAATATGATGGTGTTGGAATAATATTTTCTACATTTGATTTTGCAAAATAAATTTATTAAATGGAGAAAAACATAGCTTCTATAAAATGGAGTTCCAAGAACCAAACAGAGTTTGAAAAAATTGAAGGTGTTTGGTTAGTTTTTGCAAAATAAAGTTTTATGAATCAAGTGAAATTTGAGAAAAATGGAAGTATTTGGATGATTTTTTTCCAAAACCATGGTTTTAGACGATGTAATTGATTCCAAAGGAGACCATGAACATATTTAAAACCAAGACTTCTCGCAAAAAATTCAAATTTGCTTGTTTTTGTAATTATTGAATAGAGTATTCCGAACTAAGATAATGGGAAAGTGACAGTTGGTTTCAAAAAGTAAGTTGTTAATTCAGATAGCAAACAAGATTTCAATGGCAAATTAAAAATTATATTTAAAGTTTAAATGCCTTATGTGTAACTGAGACTTTTGTAATTACAATTATTTAAATTTAACTGCATGACTTTTTGGATAATTTTTACACAAAATCATAAAAATATAAGATTGCGTCATTCCACTGCTGGAAGATAGGGTTAAAATATAAACCCCTCCTTGAATTTTTTTTTTCAAAAGTGCAATTGATGTTCAAAATTATTTAAAAGCACAATTTTGCTCTGATGTTTTTAAAAAATGATACAATTTTGCGTTGTCTAATAGTTTGATTGAAATATTTCCATTACCTAATCATAATTAGCTATCAAATTTAAGGTAAAGGTCTAATCTCAATAAAGATTATCAAGTTTGTAATTTGTGATAATAAGATCTCAAATTTTCATAATTTAAAATAAATTAAAATTATTTATTAAGCTAAATAATGGTTCGAAAGTATGAGATACCTCAAATGAGTGAAAAAACTCGAAAACAATTTATGAAAAACATAACAATGCACTGTGACTTATGTTAGAATAAAATGATTTAGGTGTTTATAAAAATACTCTTTTCATAAAGTAGTTAATGGCACGAGTTTTACTTACAAATTAAGTCACACAAGAAATTTAAATACCCAAATACATTTTCAATCATTTTCACAATTTTCATAACTCAAGAGTGTCCAAAACCCCACAAATATATCAAAAATCATTCCTAACACCAAAACTATATTCAATGAATTTAGAACTCCCTATACAATACATCACATGCACATATGTATCGCAATTTCAAACTTTTACTCCTTAACCCCTTTAACAACAAACCAAAAGGGAGAGATCTTTACATTGCATGTAACCACAAATAATCAAAGTTATAATTGAATTAACATTTTTACACTTATATTAATATTTTGGCCTTTATTCTACAACAAACTCTTGTTATTAATATTTTCAATACATTTAACTCCACTTATCTTAATTAGATTAGATAAAAGTATATTAAGTATATAAAAGTAAATATATAAGACTTACTTCTTTTTTTAATATCATTGTGTGCGAATTTGGGAATTTCTAGTCTTACATACAAACATTATTATAACAAAATACAAATATTTTTTATTTTTCTTATAGGTGAAATTCCATCATTCATTTGGAGCATGTCTTCTTTGAGACTGGTTAATCTTGGCATGAATCATTTAAATGGTAATTTGCCAAAAGAATTGTACCATCAACTCCCTTTACTTGAAATCTTGGATGTTGATAATAATCAATTAGAGGGAAGCATTCCAAAATCAATAAGTAACTGCACATCTTTAAAAGGATTATATTTGGATGGTAACTCATTTACAGGTATGT